CTCACAGAAATATACCATCGGTCCCTTGGTGTTCGTCCTAAAGAGGTTCGACTGGATATCATTCATACTCACCAAAAGATGTGTAAGATTTTATTATTATGGAGTGCCTTGTTTATCTCTCAGTACCTCCAACCATAGCCTTGCCCCTTTTATCCTCGGGATCAGTGTAGTTGTTGGAACGAGGTGTCGATCTGAGCAATGTATTTGTTTACATATTAATACATGTTTATTGTTCCTCCTTTGCTGTGTTGTTTTAGAAAATCGTGGACAAACAGTTTGAAGTCATTGAACTACTTCCAAAAGTTGTATCGACATCAACAGGATTACGATTTCAGTGCAATATGATGCAGGATGACCTTATCACGATAACTCATGATTATAAACCATTATAAACACAGAATCAACAAAAACATCTGCGACACGCACCTGGTTACATTTCTCAAATAAATCTGATCGAGGGTGGGGAAATCTGAAATATCTGAAAGGCAAGACAATTTCATGACAGTCATGAAATTCTACTACAGCAACGTGCACAGAATGACCTCCGTATAAAAAAAGTATCACCACGGTCCACCACTACTCACATGTTTCCCCGCAGAAGAACATGCTTGTGCCATTTTCTGCAAGAAAAGGCTTGCACATCAATGCGTATAATACGGTATTGATATGATGTGAAGGCCATCATTTACAAATTGATAATAGGGCATTCCATTGATTGGTTGCAGAAAAAACAAAAAAAATTATAGCAATAAAAACTGCTTTATGGCAGTTTTCTAAAAAAGGTTATTGTGTTCTAGTCCATGGACCGGACCCCGTGTAAAAAGTAAGAAATTAACGAAATGTGATAGCCGAAAATTAAAATTTCACACAAAACCTCACAATAATCACACACAGAATGAAAAGCTACATATAGAAGACCTTTTCCCCTCGTATTCCTCTTTCCTATGCATGCATGACTGCATGTTGCCAATTGTTGGTGCAGTACAAGTTTAGTGTTGAAAGCAGCATTTCAAGTGTTGTGATTATTGTGAGGTTTTGTGAAATTTTAATTTTCGGCTATCACATTTTGTTAATTTCTTACTTTTTACACGGGGTCCGGTCCATGGACTAGAACACAATAACCTTTTTTAGAAAACTGCCATAAAGCAGTTTTTATTGCTATAATAGAGTTTGTACAGGCAGTTGCACACTCTTGGGGTTATGTACTCTTGATAGCAGGGAGGTTTAGTTCCCACGTAACGGAAACGCGTAGATCTACGTGGGTGATCCACGTAAAGTGGATGAAGGGCATCCACGTTGCAATGTTGTGTTTAGTCCCACGGAACAAACAAAAGCATGAAGCAAAAGGCCCAAACCTGGTCAAAGACGAAGCTACCCGGGCCTAAGGGCCCGGTCACACATGCACTGGGATTTGCTTCGGCGACGAGGTTCGGCGGCATGCGCGGCAGCGAGCCTGGTGTCGCTCCAGCGAAACCACGTGTGTGTGGTCACACATACAAACAGGGCACAACTCCTACTTTGGCGGAAAATGAGACTGTGGTGCATACGGTACGGAGAATAGACGAGGTCAATGACTATCTTGCACGCATTTTTGTTTCATGGACATCATACGCATACAAATTTCTCGTAGCAAGTCCATATACAGCAGACCGTGGTGTTTTCCGCTGAAGCGAATCCGCAGAAGCGACAGTCTCGCTTCGAAAATTTTGGAGGAAGCGGATTGGAGTTTCCGCTGAAGCGGAAGTTCCGCTTTTCGCCGTTGCCATGCCATTTTTCGCTCCTGCGACCTCGCTTCAGCGTATACGCTACTTTCGAGTGCATGTGTGACCGGGCCCTAAGAAGCTCATCGAATATTGTGATTTCGTGCTTCGGAAACTTCTTCAGCTGAGCACCCTCGCAGCTCGCAAAATGCGCTCCATTCTGATTTTCACCCACGTTCTGGCGGAACGTGGGTGAGCCTCCATACACGGTATGTTGTGAATCAGAAAACGTCTGTACGTGGGTCACTGAGTATATACGTGGTACACACACGTAAAGTACCCACGGATTACGTGGGACTAAACCTCCCTAGTATCTAGTTACAGTGGTGGACAGTTCCTCTTAACTCGTATCCATTTTCCTTTTCCTTTCTCTATTTATTATTGGGTCAACATCCGAGTCACTTATTATTGACCATCACAGAAACTTGTGATCTCCAAGGTGAAATATTATCATATAATTTTCAAGAGAGGTTGCGGAGTACGATTTTCCATGCCAAAATCTGTAGAGGCGCTACGGATTTTTTTACGTCGTTTTCAAGTAGTGTTCCGGAGTACGGAATTATGTGTTCGTCGTCATTGCTAGCTTATGATCGCAAGAACGTCATGATCCCGCGCTATGCCTTTCAATTTGAAAATTTGTATCAAAATCGAAACTTCCCGCGGAAAATCCAAGTTTCTCGCATCAAAATTGTGCGCGACAAATCTTTCTGCACTCGATGAAGCAAAATCTCCATGCCGAACATGGTTCGTACATGAAAGCCAGTGCACTTGGATTCTCCGTGCCGAAAAATTGTATGAAGCACGCCTCAAAAAAAGTCTGTAGCGCCTGTAGCTGTATGGATTTTGGTGTGGAAAATCGTACCCTGGAACCTCTCAATTGTGAAATATAGACGTTGCAAAAAAAAACTCGACTTCGCCTTGGCCTTTTATCATTCTATATACTGACCTTTGATAAATACCCACACTCATTAGTGACCACACCATCAACAGTACACTGTATCAAATTCAAACGAGATCTGCACTCTGGAACCTGCTGCCGGATGGCGTTCGGACCATAGCAAGACAGAACAAGTTTAGCATAAGTTGCCTACCACATTGTTGCTCAGACTAACCCTCCCCCTAGCTCTCTTCGACCACCCTGTCACCCCTGATACTCGCTTGACTCCTCTGTCAGATACTTCTTCTTTCGTAATTTTCGAAGTCCTGTCCTCTCTTTTCTAAATGCGGCTTATCCATTCGCCTTTATATCATTGGGCCTAGTTCCCGTTTATTGTGCGAATTAAAATAAACCAACCAACCAGATCGTCAGAAGTCTGCTGTGTTTTTGCATTTGTTTAATTTTGTTATCTCACCCTAAGTGTTTGGAAGTGCATGACGATTTTTGTTTTTCTGTGGTTTGTCCTGCACGTTATGCCTGACAGTTCAAGGTTCTTGAAGCTGTGCGTATTCGTTCGCGTAAGCCTGTGCTCTGTAAACAAAAGAAGCATGTTGTCGCGCTGAAACTGTTTTGTTAAGTTCCTTCTGTTTCCACCGTTTGTTTCTCTCACTTCACTTCACAGTTTCACATTCTGGTTGTCTCACCTTCTTTTGTGCCAATACTTACCATTTTTGTTGCTTGCTTGTAAATTTTACCACATTTTGAATGCATACTTTTAAAATCATTTTTTTGCTTGGCTTGCCTTCACTTCAGTCACGATAATCCACTGATGATATTGACAAGAAAATCGGTTTTGGAAAACATTTGACCATAGCTCAGTGGTTAGAGCATCGCTAGCTACAAGCGAGCGTCCCTGGTTCGAGTCCTGGTGGTGACAGTCGATTTTTTCTTCAGACCTTTCCCGTTTGTGTCTTTCCCTCAAACTAGTCAAGAAAACATTTGACTTTGTAGATACATGGTGATGACAGCAGAGTTAGTTCTATTTATTCCCGTAGCTATGCAGAAGACGTTACTTCAGTAACGTCTGGCGCTAGCCAGGGTCCACACAGCTCTAATTTGGTATTTGTGTGTTTGTTTGTTTGTTTGTGTGTTTGTTTCACGCCTGGCACTATCCCGTACCGTACCGTACCATCAAACACAGCTGGCCACATACAGCTGGCCGAAATATTTAAATAGGGCTTTCAAACGCATCAAACATAGCTGGCTACATACAGCTGGCCGCAATATTCAAATAGGGCTTTCAAACGCAAGATCATAACGTGAAGTAACTTGGAAGAATGAGTATGAATGCGAAGTGTATGGGGGAATGCATGTAGGGCGATAGTGCGGGTTCGAATCCCAGGTTATGCCTAAAAAATAGGAGAATTGAAAAATTTATAACATCCTTATGCTTTTTTTGCCTAGGTCATCAAGGCGGTAGACGGTGTCGTATTATCCTCGACCGTACCTGTCCCGTACCTGTCCCGTACCGTACCATCAAAGACGGCTGGCCACAATGCATATTCAAAAAGGGCTTTCAAATGCAAGATCATAACGTGAAGCAACTTGGAAGAATTAGTATGTATGCGAAGTGTATCGGGGGATGCATGCAGGGCGATAGTGCAGGTTCGAATCCCAGGCTATGTCTTTGCAAGAAAAGGAGAAATGTATAAGAATTTATAACATCTCTATGCTTTTTTGTCTAGGTCATCAAGGCAAAAAAGCATAGCGTAGGGCCCTGAGCTTCCAAGCTCTCTCGTTGCTTTATTGAGACATCTCGGTCTTGTGTTTATGGGAAAATAAACACTGTCTATAAAAACCTCACCTCGGTTTTTATAGCAATGTTTCTATTCCCATAAACACTACGACATCGGTGTATATTCTATACATAAAATACCACTAAGGCCAATAAATACTGTTTATAAAATACTCCTTTTTAGGGAAAGTGAAGGTCAACATATGTATAATAAATGTAGTAGCCTCAGGATTTATTGCAATTACATACCAGTATAATTTCAAAATATTGATGACCTCTCTTATTGGGCAATAATGGATACATCCTTGGAAGTACTTCGAAGTAAGCAGCACTTGTACTAATTGATGGTTGGGTGGAAGCCCACTGGGCGATGAGAGGAAATTTTGCACGGTCACAATTCTTTCTATGTTTCGAAAATGAGGTACGACCACTAACACATCCTAAATTGTTTTCAGCACAATGATATGTACACGCATACTTTACTTGTCTGACCGTGGATTGGTAGACTTTGGCCCAATCTGATCAAGTTATGTTTGTGGAAAGGTTCTCTTCAAAATTCTCTACTTACCGTCAAGTCGTGGCCGCTTGTCTTCAAATCGGTCAGGTTCACACCGCCTGGAACCAGACCGTACCTGACGGAGTAGCGAGAAGTGTAGTAGGGGCTCGTCAGGAACGAGTCTTCGATTCCCTGCGACGCTATGGCCGACACCAGCCTCACCTGCCCTAGGTCCACTTGAAGGTAGTCACTGGCAGTGAAGCCGTTTGAGGCGCAGAAGCCGCCGTTCCCGAAGGACTTGTACAGGCGTGCAT